CCAGATACAGTAGTAAGTATTTAATGTGGATTGTCTCATTTAGTATGAAATATCTATATTAAACAAGCATTTAATATCTTATTTAATTATCTCCTGATGGCAGTTTTAAAACTAGCACTATTATGATACCATTTTGAGGATGTGGAACCTGAAACTACAGATAATTAGGCTAGGACATTTGGACTAGAAAGAGGTAGAAATAGGAGAGGAGTCCTTCAGTCTGACCATAGGTCTGGGTTTTAACTCTACACCATAACACTGTGTAAAACCCCAGGCTGATTTATGAAATCATTGAGGTGTAATCGTGTGTTTGCCAGAAATAATGTTTGCATTTATTGTTGTCAGTTGCCCGAGGCACTGTCAGTCCTAATTATTTTGAATTAAATTCTCTGTTTGAGGTTTGTCAGACCTAACTTTATAAAACTACTTACCTCATTCTTCATGATCACATCTGAGGTAAGTCTTCTTGAAAGTTGAAAGTTAAGTCGTTCAGTTGTGTCCGACTCTTTGCGACCCCATGGACTATAGCCTACTAGGATCCTCTGTCCATGGGATTTTCCAGGCAAGAATACTGGAGTGGGTGGCCATTTCCTTCTCCAGGGGATCCTCCAGATCCAGGAATCGAACCCGGGTTTCCCGCATTGTAGGCAGACACTTTACTGTCTGAGCTACCAGGGAAGTCCAAGGAGTCGCTTATACCAAGCAGTGAGAAGTAAGTCTTCCTACTCCTGTTTTATTGATGAGACTGATGCTCAGTAAAGGTAAATAACCTGCCCTGGATCAGGGTGTTTTAAATGGTGGAGCTGGGATTTGAACTCAGGTCAGAGTGAGCTCAAAATCTAGGCTTTTCTCCCAGTGCTGGAATTGAGGCGTCCCTTCTGGAGCAAGACTGTGGGGTCCTGGGGCCATGCTCCCATGTGAAGCACTGTCTTGGTGGCCGTGGCCTGAGAGGCAGTCCTCTCAGACACCCTTTCTTTTTTTTCAGACTTTAAACTTCTTATTTTGTATTGCGGTCTAGCCAATTAACAAAGTTGTGGTAGTGTCAGGTGAACAGAGAAGGGACTCAGCCATCCATACACATGTATCCATTCTCCCCCAAACCCCTCTCCCATCCAGGCTGGCACATAACATTGAGTAGAGTTCCATGTGCTATGTAATAGGTCCTTGTTGGTTATCCATTTTGAATATAGCAAAGTGTACATAATCTTCCCAAAGTACCCTAACTATCCCTTCCCCCAGCAACCGTAAGTTCTTTTTTTATGAGTCTCTTTCTGTTTTGTCAGTAAGTTTATTTGTATCATTTCTTTTTAGAATCCACATATGAGGGATGTCATACAATATTTCTCCTCTGTCTGACTTCACTCAGTATGACACTGTCTAGGTCCATCCATGTTGCTTCAAATAGCATTATTTCATTCTTTTTAATGGCTGAGTAATATTCCATCACATGTATGTACCACACCTTCTTTATCCATTCCTCTGTCGATGGACATTTAGGTTGCTTCCATGTCATGGCTGTTGTAAACAGTGTTGGAATGGACTTTGGGGTGCACGCATCCTTTTAGTCCATGGTTTCTCTGGATGTATGTTGGGCACCCTTTCTCTAAGGGCTCTGTGGTGGGCTCTCGTCTGGGCTGGGGCAGTGAGCTGTTGGCACTGCCACCTGCTGAAGGTGCCAGAGCTGTGAGGTGCAAACACAGCGGGGCTCGTTGCAGGAGAAATGTTAGGCTTGGGCAGGTGCCAGCCGGGTTGGGACAAGTGAAATGCAACAAGGGGCATCAGTCCTATTTCCACACTATCTGGTCATCAAGGTAAACGTACTTGATCATCCCTGGGACAAAGCCACACCTGTCTGCAGCCAATGTTTATGGTCAACTGTATGTCAACTTCTGTTCTAAGCAGGCTTTGTGGATTATCACACTGAGTCTTCACAACACTGTGAAACTGGTACTATTGCTACACACTTTATTGACACAGAAGCTGAAGCAGAGCTAGTAATGAGGGAAGTCAGAATAGTTACCCAGGCAGTACTGCTCCCAGCTGTTATGCTGCAACCTCATCATGCATTCACTGTGTGACAGAATTCCTCAGTCATCAGGAGGGCTTCCCTGGTGGCTCAGATGGGAAAGCGTCTGCCTGCAATGTTGGAGACCCGGGTTCAATCCCTGGGTTGGGAAAATCCCCTGGGGAAGGAAATGGCAACCCACTCCAGTACTCTTGCCTGGAAAATCCCGTGGGCAGAGGAGCCTGGTGGGCTATAGTCCATGGGGTTGCAAAGAGCTGGACATGACCGAGTGACTTCCCTTTCGCTTTCAGTCTTCAGGAGGCAGTAGTTGTTGTTTATGATCATCAGGCCTTTTTGTGCAGCATCCTCCTGAACCTCAGAGCAGTACCGCTGCTCCTGACTCTCTCAGGTTGGTCCCCAGTGGAAGTTCTCATGCTGGGAGTCATCTGAGCCCACAGAATGAGACTGAGTTTGGTTCAGAAGAAAAGTAGAGTTCTATTCTTCGATCAGAAAATGGGAGAAGCGCACGCTCAGGCTGTAGACTAACTGCTCTTTGTAGGGCTCTTGCCAGCCAGGAGCGGGCAGAGCTCCTGCTGGTCGGGTGCAGGTGCGCTGCTCAGGCTCCGGACCCCACACCTGGCACAGTGCCCTGCGCATGTCCGCCCCTGCCATCTTGGATCGAGCGTCGTGTGCGGAGCTTCTGCGCGTGGTCTGGGAGCTGAGGTGCCAGCATAGCCACTTTGCACTGGAAGCTCTGGTCTTGCCGGGCTGTGGCAGCCTGTGAGCAAATGAACCCAGACTAAGCACAAAGGGAAGGAAAGGTTAGACGCATTGCTCAGGTTCTATTTTTATTTCCTAGAAAATAATAGACTTTGCCCAGTGACACTAGCAGGTAGCTAGTATTATAATTTCCCATTTCAGAGATGGGGAAACCTAGGTCCAGAGAGTATAAAAGAGTGTTGTTTGAATGCTACGACTGGGTTTCAGATCCACATCTTTCAGGCTTCCAGTCTACTTTTAAAGCACAGCATCTGCCTCAGATTTTCCATGCACTGATCTGTGCCTGAAGAATATCTTAGGCCGTTAGTAATAGCTTAAATAATGCAAAGTTTAAATGTATACATTGATTCACATAGTAAGAACTCCTGATTTTAGTTTGCTGAGGCAATTTGCTGCCTCAGAATATTTACATCTATAACTCTACTTCTCTAGAAACAATGAAATAACCTCTTGATGTGGGTAATTAACAGAACCATAAAACATTCCCACAAATGGCATCTGCAGAAACAAGGTGAAATGAAGAGCTGTCGTTTGAGCCAACCCCATTTGAAACTCATTTCAAAACATTTAACCAAGGGGAGATAAGGGAGGATGCGTGGCTGTTGGTTGCAGGATCATTTAACTAACAGCAGTGTGCTTCCAAATTAAACCTTCCATTTAGAAATGCTGAATGTGTGTGTGTGTGCGGGTACCTGCACACATGTGTCTGAGCAACTCTCTGGTTATGTGAGCAAGTTGTATTAATTATGTGGCAGTAGTTTTTAAAACTCTTTTAAAGAAGGCAGTTTGTCTTTCCTGATCTTATAACCATTGCTCATTAGGGACTTCTGTGCTGTAAAGAATAATTATAAGCTGTGATCTTGGGTATATATTTCAGCCTGTCTGGGCCATGGTTTCTTAACTTTTGAGAATGGATTCCTGCAAACTTGTGAGGGAGATAGACAGGTACCCAGGTAGAGTATGACAGAATACTTTTAGATGTATGCCTAGAACCCCACCAGAATGGCTAAAATGAAACAGATAATACCAAGAATTAGTGAGGATGTGGAGCAGGGGAAACTCCCATACACTGCTGGTGGGCATGTAAGTCAGTACAGCCACTAGTGGAAAGCTGCGTAGATCGTATATGCCTTCTGCCACCAGGCACATACCAACAGAAATGTGCATAGATGTTCACCCAACAGACTTGCACAAGAATGTGTGTAGTAGCACATAGCCCCCAAATGGAAATAAGACAAGTATCATCTGTGATAAATTGGAACGATGTATCACAGTATATTCACCCAATAGGTTACTGTACAGCAGTGAGAAAGCATGAACTCCAGCAACTTGGATACACCTTACAAAAACAGCATTGAACCAAAGAAGCCAGACACTAAAGAATATGTATTATATGAGTCTACTAGTGGAAAGTCCCCAAATAGGCAAAACTAATCTCAATATTAGAAGTCAGAATAAAAATGACTATCAGAGACCTCAGTGCTAGAGGTGGCGATGGTCCCTGGAAGGGGAATGGGGGAGCTTCTGACATTTGAATAGCATTTTATTTCTTGATCTGGGTGCTGGTTACTTAGGCATATTCACTTTGTGAAAGTTTATTGAGATGGAATTTTATGCTTTGTGCTCGCCTGTAGGGTATGCTTCAATATATAAAAAAGGAAACAGTCACAGGATACTATATGGTTACTGAAGACAGACATTTAATCCAGAACTGAGATAACCAGGGGAGGCTCCCTGTAAGAGGCAATTCTTAATCTTTAATCTTTACCTTTGCTATATGTAATTTTTTTGGGTGTGTATGTATTTATTTATTCTTCCAGTTTTATTGAGATATAATTAACACACAGTGCTGTATAAATTTAAGGTACATATAGCTTTGATACTTTGCCATAAATACACAAGAATCTGTTTCAGTGTGGAACTATTTCCACTGATCTGGATTTCAGTTTTTATTTCATATGTTAGTATCACAGTTTGAAAATTAGAATTGACATTAGGTTAAATGTCTAATCATCACTCTTCATTTTAAAACTTTCCTCAACTTTCCTTCTATTTATTCATCTGTATGAACCTTAGATAATCTTGTGGTATATAAATCACAGAAATGATATTAGTTGGGTGAGGAATAGATACCTTGACAATAGTTTTATCATCTAGGAGCAGGGATGGCATCTCCACTGCTCATCCCATTTAAATTACATTTTGTTCTCTACAGGATGCTTTTGATAAATGCTGCTTCATCCTTTGGGGCTATCTAAGACTGACCAATCGCCTCGGACCATTGCAGAGGCAAAATATCATGGTGAAGAATGAATGCATTTTTTTATCTTTATGATCAAGAGAGATGGAAATATCAAGACAGGGGACATCTTCAGTTAAGGAGAAAAGTCTTGTGAGAAGAAAGTCTGGCCTAGGGATAAATCACCCGTCAAGAGAATGGTGTAATTCTTCTGCAGATTTCCAAGGTGAAATATAAAAGACAGACGAGAGACTTCAGAACAGGGGAAGGGGATCCCTTTCACTGAGCCTGCATTATCTGCCTGCCTGCTTTTTCTACCTCGAGTTATTTAGTGATTTTTGCCCTAAGAGCTGAAGATAGGATCATGGTGCTGGTGGACTGAGTTCCCATATGTCTCAGTATCAGTGCCTGGTCAGGATGCTCCTCGTGAACCTAATCCATGAGACCAGATAGATTTTCAAGGGGCAGATCTACTCTGAGGATCACACTGGTGGCACAATTGATGCAAAGAAAGTGGAGGGACTCTTGGGTCTAGTGGTTGATACTGTCTCATAAATGATAACCCTTCTTCTGTGAGGAGCACTGTACGATGAACAGAGCTAGTCTTTAGCCATTATCTCATTTCACAGCAGCCCTCTGTCCCCAGCACCCTAATTCTTGGTCACTAATCCTTTGAGGTAGAGAACAAGAGCCAGGGCAAGGCCTAGTGCATCATTCTGCAATCAAGAAAATGAACTCAGTGAGGTTAAATAACTTGATGGATTCGATTGGCAGTACATGGCAGAGCAGAGGTTAGGACCCAGCTTTGTCTGAGTCCAAAGCCAATGCCTTTTTCTCTATATTGTAGAGCGTATCAGCTTGTCTCTTGTTTCAAGACTCCAGGCAGTTTTCTGCTGTGAAGAACAACATAACTTAAAAAGTGATCATCCTTGTTTGTGTTAGTACCAAAGGCAGCATTAAAAACCATCTGATATATAGTCATTCTAGTTTATAGTCTGAAATTAAAACTGTAAAGTAATTTCCTGTCCCAGCTTTCAGGGCAGTTTCTTGCTGTGACTAATATTAGTGGGCTTTCAATATTATCATTGAAGTAGGGAAACTTGCAAATCAAGTAGTGACTCATTGTAAGTGAGCGAGAGACAAAATAATGCTGTGATGTGTCATCGTTGTCAGAGGGCTCAGGAAGTCTAGATTCCAAAATGAGTTGTTTTCTCCATATATTGAGCTCATTTCCCCCAAGTGGTACATACTGCTTATGTCTGGAACCAGGAAGCCCACACCCTAGGAAGTGGAAGTGGCTGGGTTGGTCTTGGTCATACCCTACTAACTTGTCCCCAAGAACAGGGATCAGGAAACCACAGCCCTTATGCTACGTATGGTCCACCCTGTTTTCATAAATAAAGTTTCACTGTTACATAGACTAGTCATATGTTTACTGTTGTCTATGGCTGCTTCCTCATTACAACACAGAGTTTATAGTTGCCAGAGAGACTGTATGGCAGAAAATACCGACTATCTGGCCCTTTACAGAAGAATTTGCCAACCACGCTCAAGATTCTTTGGCAAATGCAGTCATTAAAACACTTGCTTTAAAAAAGGATTGAAAAGGAGGGGACATATGTATACTTATAGCTAATGTACAGTAGAAACTAACACAATATCATAAAGCAATTATACTCCAATTTAAAATAAATTAAAAATAAAAAAAGGGTTGGTCACATTTATATCAACTTTTGAGAATTGGAACACAAGCAAGTTATCATAAAAGGGTGCATCACAGAATGCCTCAGACGGATTAAAACTTTGGTGAAAACTCAGACTTTGACTGCTCCAGGTTAATTTTTTCCTTGTGGGCAGTTTTTTTGATTGTTGTTGTTCTTGGCAGGGCTCTCTCCCAGGATCTGTCTGGACATAAAACTGCTCAATAAGATTCCTCTCAGTATGTTTCGGAACCATCTATCATGCACTCTTAAAAGGGTTATTATTGGTTTATCTTAATTACCGGAGTCATCTACCAAAAAAGGAAGTGCGTATTTGCTGGTTGTAGCTTTTATGCATATGGAACTTTACAAAATCATTAAAAATTCCCCCCCTTTTTTTCTTACAAAGCTGAAGTGAGTGACAGAATGAGATTGGAATTTTGTAATTGATTTAGAAAGCTGGTCTCAGGATGAGCTACACAGTCTTTTCAATGGGAATCTGGCCTCTGGAGGCGGACAGCTCCCTCTAAACGCAGCCGTATGGGATTCTGGAAATAGGTAGCAACTATATCATGTTTATTTTTTCTGCTTTGTAGAAATGTGCTCATTATCAAAAAAGCCTCTGGCTGAATGCATCCAAACATTTATTGCAATGAAGAAAGAACCAATAACTAAATACAGAAATGAGAATAATGGGCCAAAAGTCCATACAAGGCTGTTGGAATTTAAATTTGAGCTCTGGCATGAATGCCCCCTCTCCTAGGCCTGGCAGGGGGATGAGCTCTCTTTCCTTGAAGAGTAATTTAGCTGTCAGCCTTTCTTCCTCACACTTCACTGTTTCTTTTCTATTCGACTTTTTAATTTCTTGCTATGAGTAAATCATCTTTTTTTTTAAAACACAATTCGTCTTTGTAGGGTTTAACTGTTTTGCTTTGCTTATATCTCACACATGCTTAGTTGCTTTGACTGCTGTTTTTCCCAAACTTAATGAACCCACTTAAGACAAATGTGGAAAGTTAAAAGAGAAATCAGAACCCATGGTAAGGTACCCCCTGCCCCTTCTACCCCATCTCATATAGCCCAATATGGAATACTTCACAAATCTGTGGAGATGAAGAGGCAGTAGAAAAAGCGTTTTGGTGATGAAATACATTCAAGATGCAAGTGACAAATGACCAGAAGAACATAGTGTGATCAGTACGAGACCCTACCTTCAAGGCTTTGTTGAAGGAACAAACTTATAAAAAAAAGCAGATCCCAAGCCTGGGCATGAGTGATGCCACTAAATAAACTGATAGCTGAAGTAACTTAAAGAGGAAGCTTGATCCAGTGTTCAAATATGAGGGGAAGAACAGTTGCTACATTGGCAGTTGGTGAGTGAGGGAAGAGGTGGGGAAGCAGGCAGAGAACGAAATTCTGCAAGCATTAGCAATTTATGAAATACCCACAGAGTGTGAGTGCATAAGAAATAAAAACAGACAGCTGAGCGAATTGCTGAACATCCTGTCTAGGTATGCGGGCAGAGGGCAGGAACCACCTTTCCTTAGCCTTACAGACCCAGGCAAAGACAGCTTGCAACTTTTGCAAATTGAGGAGCCGTGGGGATGGGTGGGGGGAAGGATAGCAACTAAGGCTGGGAGGAAATTCATAAAGAGATATTTGGAATTTGTTGAGCTACCTGAGAATATGGAGGCTTGGATGCATGCCTTTTTAAAAAATATATAAATTCTGTTGAAGTATAGTTGACTTACAAGGTTTCAGGTACCCAGAAGGTGAGTCAGTTATACACATACCCATACACATATTAATTTTGAAATTATTTTCCATCATAGGTTATTACAAGATATTGACTATGGTTCCCTATACTATACAGTAAACCTTTGTTGCTTGTTCGATATCTAGCTTTTAATTAGAAATCTAGCATTCTATTCATACTAAGTCAAACAAGTGGGCTCAAAATGTCATAAATTTTTTATTTAGGCAAAAATTCATGTTTTCTAAAATTATATGCATACTATATATATGTATACAAAAGCTTTTCTACTATACTTGATAAAGACTTGAGAGAGAACATCAAAAAAATAAAGAGATGGAGAAACTGGAGAACATAGACTAAATGAAATGGGAGCACCAAATATGAAATAGAAAAAGTGAAACAAACAAGATAAAAGGAGAAGATCATCATATAGTCCAGTTGTTTTTAAACATGACTTCTCACTAGAAACATATCTGGAGCTCTGGAGATTAAAAACAATACCTGAGCATTTGTATTTTTCAAAAAATTTCAAGATAATTCTGATATGCATCTGGATTTAAAAAAATGATTGTAGGTTTTTCTATTATATCCTAGTTTTGGTGATACAGAGTTTTGTTATTTTTTTGTTAACCAATCATGAAACAATGATATTAAGTGTGTAATAGTTACATAATCACAATAGTAAAAGATGTTTATCATTTTTCACAATCAATAGCCAGACAAAAAATAAAGGATAATTACAACTGCAAGCCATAATGGGAACATGATTAACTTAACAATATAAAATAATTACATACAACTTGGCAGGGGGGGTCAAGCAGAGTAAGTGGAAGTACATATGTTTTCATCCACCCAGCCAGTCTGTGCTTTTTGGCTGATGCATTTAATCCATTTACATTTAAGATAATGTAATATGTATGATCTTATTACTGTTTTCTTAATTGTTTTGCATTTATTTTCTGTAGGTCTTTTCCTTCTCTTGTGTTTCCTGCCTGGAGAAGTTCCTTTAGCATTTGTTGTAAAGCTGGTTTGGTGGTGCTGAATTCTCTTCAGTTCAGTTCAGTCGCTCAGTCATGTCCGACTCTTTGCAACACCATGGGCTGCAGCACACCAGGTTTCCCTGTCCATCACCAACTGCTGGACTTACTCAGACTCATTTCCATCAAGTCAGAGATGCCATCCAACCATCTCATCCTGTGTCATCCCCTTTTCCTGCCTGCAGTCTTTCCCAGGATCAGGGTCTTTTCAAATGAGTCAGCTCTTCGCATCAGGTGGCCAAAGTATTGGAGCTTCAGCTTCAGTATCAGTCCTTTCAATGAATATTCAGGACTGATTTCCTTTAGGATTGACTGGTTTGATCTCCTTGCAGTCCAAGGGACTCTCAAGAGTCTTCTCCAACACCACAGTTCAAAGGCATCAAATTCTTCAGTGCTCAGCTTTCTTTATGGTCCAACTCACACATCCTTACATGACTACTGGAAAAACCATAGCTTTGACTAGATGGACCTTTGTTGGCAAAGTCATGTTTCTGCTTTTTAATATGCTATCTAGGTTTGTCATAGCTTTTCTTAGAAGGAGCAAGCGTCTTTTAATTTCATGGCTGCAGTCACCATCTGCAGTGATTTTGGAGCTCAAGAAAATAAAGTCTGTCACTGTTTCCATTGTTTCCCTGTCTATTTGCCATGAAGTGATGGGACAAGATGCCATGATCTTAGTTTTCTGAATGTTGAGTTTTAAGTCAACTTTTTCACTCTCCTCTTTTACTTTCATAAAGAGGCTCTTCAGTTCCTTTTAGCTTTCTGCCATTAAGGGTGATATCATCTGCATATCTGAGATTATTGATATTTCTCCCGACAATCTTGATTCTAGCTTGTGCTTCATTCAGCCCAGTGTTTCACGTGATGTACTCTGCATGTAAGTTAAATAAGCAGGGTGACAATATACAGTTAAATAAGTTAAATAAGCAGGGTGACAATATACATACTCCTTTCCCAATTTGGAATCAGTCCATTTTCCCATATCCAATTCTAACTGCTGCTTCTTGACCTGCATACAGATTTCTCAGGAGGCAGGTAAGGTGATCTGGTATTCCCATGTCTTTAAGAATTTTCCACAGTTTGCTGTGATCCACACAGTCAAAGGCTTTGGCATAGTCAATAAAGCAGAAGTATAAGCTTTTGATTTCTCCATCAGATCTGAAGGAGAGTCTTACTGGGTAGAGTATTCTTGGCTGTAGTTTCTTCCCTTTCATCACTTTAAATATATCATGCAATGCCCTCTGGCTTGTAGGGTTTCTGCTGAGGAATCAGCTGATAGCCTGATGGGAGTTCCCTTGTATGTTATTTGTCTTTTTCCCTGTGTTGCTTTTAATATTTTATCTCTGTCTTTAATTTCTGTCAGTTTAATTACTATGTGTCTTGGTGTGTTCCTCCTTGGGTTTATCCTTCCTGGGAGTCTCTGAGCTTCCTGGACTTGGTTGACTATTTCCTTTTGTATGTTCAGGAAGTCTTCAGCTATTATCTCTTCAAATATTTTCTCAGGTCCTTTCTCTTTCTTCTTCTGGGATCCCTGTAATGCTAATGTTGGTACATTTAATGTTGTGCCAGAGGTCTCTTAGGCTGTCTTCATTTCTTTTCATTCTTTTTTCAATATCCTGTTCTGTGGCAGTGATTTCTGCCATTCTGTCCTCCAGGTCATTTATCTATTCTTCTGCCTCAGTTATTCTGCTATTGATTCCTTCTAGTGTATTATTCATCTCTGTTTGTTTGTTCTTTAGTTCTTCTAGGTCTTTGGTAAACATTTCTTACATCTTCTCAACCTTTGCCTCCATTCTTTTCCTGAGATCCTAGATCATCTTCACTATCATTATTCTGAATTCTTTTCCTAAGAGGTTGCCTATCTCCATTTCATTTAGTTGTTTTTCTGGGATTTTATCTTGTCTCTTCATCTGGGACGTAACTTTCTGCTTTTTCATCATGATTAACTTTCTTTAATATGGTTTTTGTTTTAGTCGCTATGAGACTGTGCTTCTTCTGGCTTCCATCTGTCTGCCCTCTGATGGAGCAGGCTAAGAGACTTGTGTAAGCTTCTTGATGGCAGGACTGGTGATGGAAAAAACTGGATCTTGCTCTCGTGGGCAGGACTTTGCTCAATAAAGCTTTAATTCGGTTATCCGCTGATGGGTGTGGTAAGACTCCCTTCCTGTTAGTTGTTTGGAGTGAGGTGACCCAGTCCTCGGGTCTACAGGCTCTATGGTAGGGTTAATGGTGAACTCCAAGAGGGTTTATGCCAAGGGGGACCTTCTAGTCAGTCTCCTGTGAGACCAGTTCAGTCTCCTGTGGGGTCACTGCTCCTTTCTTCTGGGTCTTGGTGTGTGCAAAATTTTGTTTGTGCCATGAAAAATTGAAAGCATTTCCCC